ATCCCGTCTGCCTCATCTTTCACACCGCTCTACCCATCCGTCTTTTCTTTCCATTTCTTGGCCTCTGTCAGTCTTTGTTTTTTTCCTCCGTCTCTCTCTCTCCAGCACGGGACCATGACCTCTTTTCATGTGTACTTTAATCTCTATCTAATGCTCTTTTCCCCTCCTCTTTCCATTCACTCTTTCATGGATCCATCATTTGTTTTCTCTCCACATTCACAGATCGTTCATTCATCCCTTCCCTCCATTTCCCTTCTCCCTCTATATTCTTCCAAATTCATTGATGTTCCTTCTCTTTCATGGACATCCCCCTCCCACTATTCACCCTTCAGTTTGTTGATTCTTGCCAGCATTTAGGGGCGCACGTTTTAATTCTCAGTGTAGTCCTGGTTCAGATAGTTGAACCAGCCTTGTGTGCAACGACCTTTAAGGGGTATCAATGCAACGTTTATCTGGACATGTTTTGCAGCAGAGTTCAGCTCCTTGAGTCCAGCAGGCGTTTATCAGTCGGTCCTGGGACTTTAAGGGGCATGGTGGGATTTATCTGTCAGGGTAGTTAGTCCAGTACAAGGCCGGCCTTACGATGTATTATTTGTATAAGTTACTTTCTAAGAATTGTAAACTATGTTAGACGTCCTAGAAGGTTATAACTGGCCTGGTCTGTTGTTGGTCACATGGGGGATGCTGTTGGCATGAGGTACACCGCTCGCTCCAAAAATTGCTTTATTGCTAAATAAAGCTACAGCTACACACTAAGCACATATAGTTCTCTGTATCGCACAGACTCACTGGCTCTCTTTTCTCTAACAAACACTCATTCTCCATCATGCCCACGGTGTCAGAAACCTTTCCAGTGTTTCCTCTCAACAGAGGCTTTGTAGCCTTCCAATAAATATGGCTGGTTGTTTTTGTGCCTCTTCTATTATAGCCGGTAGGCTATTAAATACAAAAACACAGGGGAATGAATAAAGAAATAAGAAATACCATTTACAACCAATAACTAATCTGGAAACCAATCACTGAAGTAGGGTTTTGTTCATGATTTCATATTCAACTATAGCAACTAGCACACCAATAGGTTTATGTTAGGGGTGTAACGATTCACTTTAACAACGATTCGATTCGAATCGCGATTCATGGTTGCCGATTCGATTCATCGTGCCATTTTCAATGTAAACATTACACAATAATTACACAATGTTTGGATCAATTCACAGAACCTCGGATTTTCAACCACATTGTAGGGTCGCCTCCGACACCTCCGTGTTTGCAAAAGCCAAAATGTTTCCACGCGCTGGATCGATAAGTTGGTTTGTAAATGTCTCGCTCGCAGTCGTCTCCTCCACGCTGTGTGTTGTTGTTGTTCAGAGTTTCGTGCGGCTGCCGCTGCGTACTGATGACGTCACAGACAGGCAGACTGAATCCAGTAACCTTTAACGTGTCTAAAGTGCTTAAAAACAAACAAACAAACACAAATCCATACATCCGTTTTTGTACTTAAATCCAATGTGCAGTTTCCAAGTATCGATACAATCGATTATGTACCATTTCAATCGATTGGTAATCGATATATGTCGTCTGGAATGCCGATTTGCGGAGCACAGATTGATTCAGTTGGATCGCAGGAATATAAATTGATTAATCGATTCAGTGAATGAATCGTTACACACCTAGTTTATGTGTATTAAAGTTAAACATGCCAAATTGGTTGCACCATGGCTAATGCACAGCAATCAATATATATATTTGAGTGGCTGTACTGCACGCTCTACACGTCGGGTCTGAACAGATTTTGGTTGCATTGAACTGTTATTACAAACCTTAAGAAACTTGAGCTGACCTTTTCAAACTGTTTGACAATACATCTCTTAATCACTAACGTGGGAAGCTCAAATCCATAGAGGATTACAATCTCCTTTATTTACTTTCTTTTCATTCCTTTCTTCCTTATTAAAATATGTGGACTATTGTTCACAAACTACAGCGATTGGCTGCAGAGCCTGCAGGCTAAACACCTTACACAAACATGTCAAATTCAAACACGCCAACCACTAAAACACCAAAACCTCTCTTTCTCACAGCGACAAGGGTGTGACTCTCTTCTTTGCAGTGTGTATATTTCTTTTTGAGGCTGAAGCTTTTATACATTCTTATGGGTAAACAACATGTTTCTAACAAGCCAATCGGTTTGGCCACTAACACTTTAACCTTCTCTCTTTTGTTTCCTCGCTTTCTTTCCTTTACTGGCTTTTAGATCAACCCGGGGGGCCTGGGAGCACTTAAACTGAACTGGAGGGGTAAGGGGGGGGGGCACTGGGGTTGCATTAAACAAGCTAATATGTGGAGCAGGGAGGGAGGCCGGTGGCTGAAAAAGAAGAATGGAGAAAAGAGCTGGGGCAGATAAAAGGGTGGGAGACGCCCTCGAGTCTCCAGCAGACTCCCGGTGACGGATCACGCCGCTCCGCCTAAAAGAGCGACTCACGCGCGCATCTGGGCCACGCCGACTGAGACAACAAACTCATTAATGCATCGCCTGTGAGCGAAGACAAACACAACCTCTCGCCCCGACAACTAATGCAATCCCATCAGAATGGGACAGTGATGTGTGCGTTGGGGTTTTCCAGCGCCCCCCTTCCTCCCCCCCCGGCCTTCCTTCAGCCAGGCAGAGTGAATGTTGTATGAGACGCTGAGTGTGCGTCAACAAGTCAGTGTGTGTTGTTTGTGCGAGCGAGCTCACCAATGGACACGGGGAATTCAAATGAGCAAAGGCGGAGGAAGAAAGACAAAGACGGAGGAGAGACACACACACAGACAGATGGAGAAAGGCAGAGAGATGCATGATGGGAGGCTGGTAGAGATGCTTGGCAGAGGGCCGGTAGAGCAGCCAACCACACACACACACACACACACACACACACACACACACCTCGACGCACCAATGACACACACACACACTTTATTTGTCAAGAGATTGAATTGCAAATTCTCTTTTTTCATAAGAACTTTGGTTTTTGATTTGACTCAAACGTTTTAATAAGCAGCATCTAAATGAAAATAATGAATGGAGAAAGGAATTAGGAACAATTTAATAAAGTTCAAGTACAGATTTATTTTTCTCGCTCAAAAGCAGCCCAGATGCAGGTTAAAACTGAGATGCACCTGATGGCAGTGTTTGTTTCAGCGTTTCCTTTTTCCTACAACTGATTAAAGTTAACGTCAACAGATCAAAGTACTTTAATAGTTCGGAGGTATAAATTATCTTCTTCCTGCTTGAACTTCTACCCACTAATTGATTGAAATGAGATAATGACAGCTTTTCCTGTCGCTAAATTACCTCCACATCCTCCTGGGAATACTTGTGTCCTCTGGGCTTTTCGGGGATATAATGAAAGAAGGACCGATGGAGACACACAAACAAAAAGCAAAAGAAAGCCCTCAGGGGATACAAGAGACATTTAAATGTACCCTAAAGAGAGAGGAGATGACACACAAGGACCCACATGGAACCATTTAGCATTGAAAAGTCAGGTGAGGAAAAGAGAGACTTGAGTCAAGGGGGAAATTATGTAAAAAAAAAAAAAAGAGGTCAAACCCGAGGTCATCTGAAAGGAAGCAAGAAATTGCTTCACAAATGAGAAACTTATAAGCCGCGTTTCTTCCCACACTCACTCATAATGCTTGAAAAGTGTGTTGCAGGACCTCCTAAATGTTACAATGACAACATACATTCAGTCAACTCCATGCGAGGTTATACTTTCAACATCTTCTGCACCAAACTCGCCCTCGGGATATTGGACAGTGATGAAATATCATTGTCGTCACATTCTCGACCCCCTGCTCCCATGACAACAGTGTTACATGTTACAAAACAACTAAATCTAATTTGTCTACCCGGCTTGAGGCGTGAAATGTTGCATTTGTTCTGGCACCGGCCAATTGTCGAGGTTAATTGCCACGGCAGTAGTACTTATGTTCTTCTGGTCTAAAGGGCGCGTTTCACGGGGGAAATTCAGTCCCTCGTCTGCATCAATGAAAGCGGCCTAGTTGTGGTGAAAAACTCTGCAGTGCCTTTGTTCTCCCTCACGTCTCCTCTCCTGAGCACTATTTCCACTACACACCAACAGGAAGAACACTACACTCAGCTGGTGACTTTTCTCCTGAAAACATGGATCTGAACGGGAGGAAATCCTGTGTGATATCTGCCGATGACTGGAATGAAACAATGAGGATGGTTTGGCAACAACACACACACACACACACAGAAAGTCCTCCACCCCCTTATTCTTATTAAACCTGAGTGAGTCATGTCCAACAACAGGGTTGTGATTAGAGAGGAGAGAGGCGTGTGAACGGGCCAACATGTTTGGCGCAATAAAAGACTACATAACAGAATATGCCAAATAAACCTGACATTAGAGGAACTTTTCAATGGCCATTGTAGTTTTTTTTGTTTTTTGTTTTTTAATGACACGATGCCAATCACCGCACACGTCCATGTGCCGCAGTGTAAACGCTAATTACGTAACATCCTCCCTCGGTGTTTCCGTTGCGGCTCCTAATAAAACTGTTAGGTAGCCGATGGCACCTCAGTGAAACCCGCAAAACAGCAAAACCTCCTCCGGCGGGACAGCGTGCAAAGCAGCAACCCAGCGAGTGCGTGCCTCTTAAAACAAGTAAAGCCCCCCGACCCCGAAAAACAGAAGCCAAAACATGGACCCGGGTTTAACGGTCCCGGCTCGGACCACCGCGAAGAGTCATTAGTGTGAGAAAAATATACACGCAGGACAAATAATAAGCATTAAAGGTCACGAATGTGTCAAGCTAAATTATTTACAGAAGTGGGAGGGAAATAGATATTTGAGGGAAAGATGATGAAGAGCCCAAATACCGCGCACGAGACGGTCAAATCCCCAATTAATGCCACCTGTAGGGCCGGCGCGCGCACTGAGCCACAGCCGCGTGAGCGCGATGGAAAGATGACGGATGGATTCCTCAATTACCTTTATGTGATATTCTCAGCCGCGGTACATTCAACTTGTTCGATGAGCCGGTGGCGGCGAGTAGTGCGACCAAAATCATGTTGAAGAAAGGTGTAAATCCCTCCATTCTGCCGAGGAGATGCTCTGGCTCACCCGAACTAAACTTTAAAAATTATAACGTTGCCCACAAACAGGCAGGATATTCCAAGATAATTTCAGGTGGGAGCAGTTGTTGGATCCTTGTTCTCAGTGGCAACATTCGGGTTTTTCAGGTGGAATCGCCCCCCCTCCCGCTGCGTAATGCGCGCTGGACCGGACAGCTGAATCCTCTGCGATTCACTCAACTCCGCTCCAAAGGCGCACACAGCTTCAGAGCACTGGCCGACACGAGTCCGTCTCAGCCAGGGAGAGAGAGCGAGGGAGAGAGCGCCACACCACGCCTTCACAGAGAGAGAGAGAGAGGGAGGGGGAGAGAGGGGGGGGAGCAGCAGCGCTTCCAGTGACCTGCCCACTTTACGCACTGCAGACTCTTTCTAGTCAAGACGCACTTAGAGGCTCCGTCTTACAGATGCTTTAGAACTTCATTTCAACATCTAGTGAAATGAAGTTCTTCATGCTTGGTGAAGCTCTTATAGAGGCCATGTATCATTTCTATAGTGTATAAACTAATACGTTGACATTTAAAGTGTATTGGTAAAGTTCTACATCAATACATAACATACCATGTGTTATTGTAAGTGTATATAATAATAATAATAATAATAATAATAATAATAATAATAATGATATATGTACTGATAAAATAAAATTCAGCCCCAAATATTCTGAACACTGAGAAAACTCTTCTTTTTCAAGATCAATTTCAAAATAAAAGAACTACTTGCTCAAAAACATTGTATTTCTTCATACATTTTTCTATTTCGGGGGATCTATCTCTTTGTGGTACCGGTTGTAAACCTAGAGCACTGGATAATAATTTTTCAAGATAATAAATGAATCAAGAAGCTCTGTGATTTATGAGCCATAAATGAATGGAAAAACATTCCCATCTCCACATTTCTCACCACTCTGAACCATGTGCATGCTTGAACTTTCTTAACCCTCTCAGTACCAATGGGACGTGTTCAGTACCTTAATTAGGTTGTAGGAAATATCCCCCGTCCCCCTCCCTCCCGTGTGAGTCTATTCACCAGCAAGCCTACAAATAAACAGAGGGGTCTCTGCAGGATGAGTGAGAGCCACTCAAGGTGTCAGTGTTACTGGGACCCACAGTACTTGCAGCATTTGTTTGTAGCAAGAAAGAGGCTCCCATACATGTTTCATAAGGACTGAGAGGATGAAGGTGGGGGGAGAAGTGGCTGCTGAGTGCTTGAGATGACATTGTGCCCGTTGGGCGTGCCGAGGGCTTGTTTGTGCTGTGGAAGGGAACTTCTGGTTTCATGGGGGAACTTGTCATGTTCATGCAGATCAGAGGAGTGAAAAGAACCAACTAGTATTGATTTGATTCCCCCCTCTTAAGTTCCGCCTCACATCCCTGCATCACTGTTTTCTAATAGTTTTATGTAAGGATTGTGATGTGTCTAGTTTTGTTGTAGTATCTTGCAGAATCCCAACTACGTAATTCTGAAACAACACGATGTCAAATGCTTTTCTTATGTGATACTAAACGTGTATCCTTGAGCTATATCTCACTAAAGCAACAACACCTCAAAAAATATAATCATGCTTTGATATGTTTTGTGCAGTCATGGCTCGTACTGTCAGTTTTCTTTTTTTTCTTAAAACTAAATGGGAGACCAATGAGTCCCTTCAAAATGCTGTATGGAGTATTTTGTACATGAATACTGTTGGTGAGAAAATGAAAATGAAAATGACTACCTTAGTATAAATGCTGCAGACGAATGAAACCACGGCGCTGACAGCCTGCGGCTCATTCCAGTATTGTGCTCCTTCAAATCAGGATCATGTTTCAAGTAAACATCGATTCTTTCTGATGAAATAAACATGTAGCCTCTTGTCCCTGTTTTCAGGCACATCTTTTTTGTGTATTCTAGGGGACAAACATTTTCTGTAGAACTGTTCCATTTAACATTCTCTTTTTTTAATCTCTGATTCTGGCAATGGCATGATTAAATCTCTGATTATGGAAATCTGCTGTATTGCTTTATGGCACAAACCGAGGGTAAACTCAGTGGTGCGTGATGTGAGATGTTGTGTGGAGGCCAGTGGAAGCGGACGGGGACGGTGTTGGGAGTGACGGTGTATGTCGCCTGTGTTGTTTTTATTCTGTTGACGACGCAGAATGTGCAAACGTGGCTTTTCTCTTATAAAAAGCATTACTATTCCAACAGTAAATTTCCAATTAATCAAAAAGATTTGCACATGCATGTGGTTTTCAATGCTAAGAATGCATTTTATTCAAAACAACCAAATTCAACTTTGCCACCCAGTGTGATTGAAGTTGTTCTGATTGGTGCTTTTGTTCCCGTGAAGTGCTCTCAGTCCTCACGGCTGGTGATTGGACAGCCTTTTGGAGGACACACGGACATGGGAGAGCAGCAGAAGAGGCCACATGCCGCCGGAGTGTTCAAGAGCTGAATTCATTCATTTATCAAAACACCATCCTTGTGAATAAATGTTCCCTGGATTGCACCGCTAACTAGAAGTGACCCGAGGGGAGGAAATGCTTCTCTAACCGCAACGTTGTAAGAGGAACATGAGGAGCTGGGCTGATTAAGCAAAATCAATTTACACTCCTGCCTTGTGCGCTTTCTTTCTCCCTTTAAATTCCCCACTGTCGTTACCAATCAACATTCGTGCGGGTCTCAAACGTGGTGCGTTTGACTATCTTCAGACTTTAATTCAGTCTGAAAGGAAATTCATACTTCTCAGAATTCCCTCTTTTTAAGAATCGCGGTCTATTGTCTGACTGAATTGTACTGTCTGAGCGAAGGACCTTCTCCGCATCTCACAGAATCCTCCCGGGGCGGAATCATGCGCTTCAAGCCGTCAGTGGAGATGAAACGCAAGACCACTTACCAGCATCTTGACATTGCGTCACTTTGACAAATCAGACTGGTGCTCTTTGAGGGGTGATTGGGAACGGCAGCACAGGGGTTCATGAATTCACAATGTAGCAGGAGGAGGACGAACGAGGCAGACAGCTGGTACGTTTGTGTGTGTATGTGTGTGTGTGTGTGTGTGTGTGTGTGTGTGTGTGTGTGTGTGTGTGTGCGCCTCAGGCTTCATACATTTTTCATCTTTCCTGGCAATAAGAGCAGCATGCCGGAAAATGGAGGTGACACGAATGGAAACAAAGTCGAGGACAAAGTGACTCAGGAAAGTCAGAACAAGTGGAGTGAGATGTAGTGAGATGTAGTGAGACATAGTGAGATGTAGTGATGTGGAGTGAGATGTACTGAGATAGAGTGAGATGGAGTGAGATGTAGTCAGATGGAGTGAGACATAGTGAGATGTAGTGATGTGGAGTAAGATGTACTGAGATTGAGTGATGTGGAGTGAGATGTACTGCGATAGAGTGAGATGGAGTCAGATAGAGTGAGACATAGTGAGATGTAGTGATGTGGAGGGAGATGTACTGAGATGGAGTGAGATTGAGTGATGTGGAGTGAGATGTACTGAGATGGAGTGAGATGGAGTCAGATGGAGTGAGGCATAGTGAGATGTAGTGATGTGGAGTGAGATGTACTGAGATAGAGTGAGATGGAGTGAGATGTAGTCAGATGGAGTGAGACATAGTGAGATGTAGTGATGTGGAGTAAGATGTACTGAGATAGAGTGAGATGGAGTGAGATGTAGTCAGATGGAGTGAGACATAGTGAGATGTAGTGATGTGGAGTAAGATGTACTGAGATAGAGTGAGATGGAGTGAGATGTAGGAATCTGAGGCACGGAGCGACACAACTCCACTGTGAACGGGTGGATGTGGCCACTGGGACCCGGTGAGCGTCAAGCTCAAAGAAAATGTACTCATCTTTTGTGCATTCAACATTTTTTAAGGTGATTCTATTGGGTCAAATAGTGGGATTATATATTGTAGGGTTGTTTAGCTCCTTTTGGGGGCATTTTGGTAGTATTGAAAATCTTTTAGGTACAGTGACATTGATTTCCCCTTGATTTCCCACAATTCCCTTGAGGTATTGACATTTCACTTGTCACATTAATGGGCCTTCTGTTATTTTCTAATGTCCCAGTTAGTCAGGACAGTGGTCCAACATGCACACTACCTACACCCGCAAACTGAATCAGGTAAATGGCAATTTGGAACGTTTTTAAAACATTTTTATTTACACCAAAAAAGGTCCATTAGAATCCTTTTCAGGTGAGCTGCAATGGGACCATTGATCTGTTTCTCACGGAGTGAGTTTGTTGTCTAGCTAATTGTTAAATATCAAAATGTAGCAGAAGATTTTCACACTATATCAGACAAGGATTTAATTAGCGTGATAACAAACGTAGGCAAAATGTTAGTTTAAAAGGGTGTAAAAGGTTTTGTTTCATGCACTCATATTTTATGTGTCTCACAAATTGTTTTATAAATATCGTATGTATTCCATTCAAAATCAAATCCACATGGAGAAAAAGTTTTCACATCGTATTTCACCTGATGTCTCAGGCCAACCATCAGTGATGATAACAGTCAATTTAAACACAATTTGTTTGTGTCATGCTTAATCATTTTCCTGATTCTATGAGGCCCAAAGGCTGGAAAACATCATCTAGACTTCATGCTTTGCCTTCGCACAGCATGTTAAGGAAGGTGAGTTGTGCAGCTGATGGATGTGATGAATTCTTGAGGCTGTCGAGCCAGCAGTGATTCTATTGAAAAAATGTGCAATGGGACTTTATGTTACCGTTGCACATAAGTGCCGGAAAAGTTACAAACCAGAAGACCTCCATCGCTTTTCTCCATGGATTAATTGGCTTTTGGAGAACTTTATTGGCTTTTAGGGACGGTTCATGTAATGTAAAAAAATCCTACACAAACACACCTGGAATCATTTTCTCCTCCATCATCCAAGGAAATCAAACCAGAAGTAATTATTTTACTCCAAGAATGAACTGTCTTGAACTGATCAGCTAAACCACAACGGTTTAGCTGATCCACTACAGGCGTTTGGGTAGTAAATGTAATTTATGCAGCCGGTTAATCCAGGATGAAATATCAAACATTGAATGGGTTTCCATGACATTTGGTACAGACATGCATGGTCCCCTGAGGATGGGTCCTTTGATCCCTTACAAGGCTCATTTACTGCAAATAAACTGATGATAATAGTCAGATTTTTTTTCTTCCCTGTGCATTTCGCTTTTCCTTTTTTTTATTAGTGAGAGGAATTTTGTATATAAGGAAGTCAATCAATTAATAAACAATCC